ATGTCAAATTCCGCCTACTGACTAAATTTACGGCCGTTCCCTGATGTTCAAATAGCTATTCGCTTCTTGACGATAGGCGGTAGAATATAAATAAGGTGAGAACACACACACGAACACATCATGATAAAAATATCTGTAGAGTCATATTATCAGATCTAAGTTTGTTTGACTGTAGAGATAAATAAATCTGACATTTGATCTGACCAACCCTGTGAGTCTTTTCAGTATTCCTTTCAAAGTCCACGAAATTTGTCTTTTAAGTGGTGTGAAATACTCACTTATAATTCTATCATGCTGATATCTGATCTTTAGCCTTTATTTGTTATTTAGAGATGAAAGAGTTAAGCGAAAATTCACGTCAAATATATTTATTCACCTACCTTCAAAGGGAATGAAGTCCGGACTTTGAAATATACGAAGTGCTCTTCGTTCGTATAATTGAATTCTTTCTATTGAGTGTTTATTATGAAATTTCGAACCATCAGATCACACCACATACTCGTGAACACCTCAATTCGACACTTAGCATGATGAGTTTATTGTCGAATCGGAAATATTAGTAATACATGAGCTGTTTTAAGTGATATTTCAGTAACCACATCTAGACGAGATCATGTGCAGACAGTCGCCCTATCGTCATTTACGTAATAGGCGATTTGGATATAGTACCGATCAACACTGTAAAGTATAATTTTGTATTTTCCATGGCGCCAATTAAAGGCAGAAGAAATGAATTGGATAAGCGGTTAGTGCTACTTATAATCCTATATAATTAGTTTATCAGAAACGAAGTAACAATATGTTTGGCACACTGGAAAGGGCAATCAGAGAAGAGAACCATGAGAAGGATGTTGCCATATGATGCACATTTCAAGAAGCTATCGAATGAGACGATATTTGACCAATTCGTCAAGGATGTGGTAAATGATGTGCAAATGGCCGGTTAAGAATATGGTATACAAAATTTAGCTATGTACCATACGTTTCACGAAATTAACATTCCTATCAGCCTCCTCAGTCTTGTCTTCTTCACATTTGGTGTCGCTGCCTCTGCCGGAGATGAAGGTGCCGTGGCAGCAGTGGTTCGAGGAGGGAGATGTGCGGGCGTTCCTCAGGGACTTCGAAGCTGTCGCGGAGCTGGTTGGAGTGCAGGAGCAGAAGGCGAAGCTGGTTGTCTTGGGAACGCTGCTGAGGAGCCGCGCGAAGGCTGCGTACGACAACGCTCGTGAGCTGGAAGGTGAGGCGGCGTGGGACAAGGTCGTCGAGAGGCTCGTGTGCGAGTTCGACAGCCCTGCGGACAGACAAGAGGCACTGCAGAAGTTTCGGACGCTGAGACTTGGCCAGGATGGGGATCCGCTGGTTCTCGCAGTAACGCTGACGAATCACCTGCGACGCGCGTTACCCACCCTAGACGAAGATTCACGGGAGCAGTTGCTTGCATCTCAGTTCCTCGAATGCGTCCCGACAGATATCGCGCATCAGTTGCAGCTAGTTAACGCAGCTCAGCCAATGGATGTTTATGAAATGGCCAAGGTGACAAGGCAGATAATGACCTCGCATGTTGCTCCAGTGATGTCGAAGGGCCAAGATTCCAAGAAGATCGAAGACCAGATTGAAGAGTTGAAACAACAGGTTGCGGCTATGCAGATAAAGAAAAGAACAAACAACAGATGCTTTGCTCGCGGAGGAACCGGTCACTGGCAGAGAAACTGCCCGAAACGAAGGCAGAAAAACCTTAAACGATACAGTCTTCCTTCTTTTTCTCACTCGCGTTTGGAGGTGGTCGGGTTAGTCGAAAGAGGTCCAGTGTACGGGAGATTACGGGTGAACGAAAAAGAAATAGTTTGTTTGATCGGCACAGGGGCCGCAGTTTCGTTGATAGATAGAGAAATAAGGAAATAAGGCCATGCACATTAGCAGTTCAGACGGTAGGAGGACATCCGTTGCACATTCTTGGCGTTTCAGACTGCGTTGTAGAGATTGGAGCAGGAAAAATACGATATCCGTTTATTGTAACTTCTGATATAAGACGAACGATTTTGGGAGCAGACTTTCTCAGAGAAGTAGGAGCTGTAATCGATATGAAGAATAGAAAAGTAGTCACAAAACACGGGCAATTCGCGATACATGAGAATAGTGAAGTCGCTGAGGTGGAAAACACAACCATTGTTCCGCAAGATGCACCACGTCTAACCACGTTGATGAATAAATATGCCGGTTTATTCACTAGTGATGGAGACCCACACGGTTATTGTGATAAGGTAAAGCATAACATCCCACTGAAGGATACGGGGAAGACAGTCTTTCCATCGCGACGAGTTCCGGTTCACCTTGAAGAAGAAGTTAACCGACAAGTCAGAGAAATGTTAGACGACGGAATAATCGAAGAAGCCGACAGCCCGGACAGTTCGCCAATTCGTTTTGGTGAAGAAAGCTAACGGGAAATATAGGTTTTGTGTCGATTTCAGACAGCTGAATAGCCTCACCGAAGTAAAACAGTGTGCAATGCCTACGGTAACAGAAACCCTTGATCGCCTTCATAAAGCCAAGTTATTCACCGTGTTCGACCTACGATCGGGTTACTGGCAGATCCCAATAGCAGAAAGTGATCGAAGTAAAACAGCTTTCACAGTTGAGCAGAAACAATACCAGTTTAAACGAATTCCATTTGGATTGGTAGGTGCCCCATTTACATTCAGAAGATTAATGACCTTATTACTGAAGGGTCTGAAGAACGTAGAAGTATATGGAGATGACTCAGTGGTGTATAGTGAGACAGAAAGCGACCATATAGACCACATCGAGGCTATCTTAAAGAGAATTGATGACTTTGGACTGCGGATTAATAAGAACAAGTCCCAAATAGCTAAAAACACGGTTATCCTCCTAGGTTACAAAGTGGGAAATGGTGAAATACGGCCATTGCCGGAGAAAATCCTGACGGTCAAAACCAGCGAAGTGCCAAATTCAAAGCGAAAGCTGAGACAGTTTTCGGGAAGAGCGGCATTCTACAGCCGATTTGTCAAAAATTTCAATGAGACAGCAAAACCACTACATACGTTGCTGAGTGACGCGAAATTCATGTGGACGGAAGAGGCACAGCAAACGTTTCAGCGAATTAAAGAGCTGTTAGATGGTCAACAGATGACGTTGAAACTGCCAGCGCCGGGGAAGCAGTTCACAGTTTCGACAGACGCCAGTGATTATGGTATAGGTGCTGTTTTAAGACAAACGGATGGGGTTGTTGAATACGCTAGCCGTGTGTTGACACTTGCAGAACAGAAGTATTCTACGGTGGAAAAGGAGTGTTTAGCCATTGTATGGGCACTAGAAAAATGGAGACCATATCTGAT